AAGCAATCAAAACTCCCAACTTTTAAAGCAAAACTGTGAAATGCTTGAAGGCAGTTGTTATCAGGCATCTACCACCTTTCTCCAGAAATGGCGCACCAACTTATTCAGATGCGATCTGGGGTGGGGAACAACATTTGGAGGAATGTGTTGCATTATAAATTTTCTCATTATAAATTCTCCATCTGCTATTTGGCAAAAAATCTTTTTTAAGCCAAGGAAAATTAATTGAAACTTCTTACCTTGCCGTTAATTGATAAAATAATTTGCCACTGGGAGAAAAGAGCTTTTAAAATTTAAAGGCATTGATTCCCATCTGGCAAATTAAAGAGCAGTTTTCAATAAAATCCAACAAAAAGTCCCCTTCCATTTTAAGCTGAAGGATTGGAAAATGCATCACTTAATGTGTCAAAAATCAGAACATTCTGGGGATGTGCATTCTCCCAGACTTACTCGAAATTAAACCTTCTCGACAGCAGGCACTATTTCCCCATATCAGACCCCAGCCTCTGTGTTGGGTCGTGCCCTCATAAAATGGCTCCTGCCCTTTTCTTTCCCTTCAAAGGTAGAATATTGAATCGGGCCATCACTTAAGCTCCAAGCTTATACCCTGCTGCACATACAGTGAGATTATTCGTGTTCCTGTCATAGATTTGTCTTCGGGCTGCGTTTGGATTGTCTGCTTTTTTAGGGTCTGTGCCTGCTTTCTGATGGCTGTGAAGTCATCTTTAAGTGAGAGTCTGATTGGAAGTTCAAAAAGGACTAAGTAACTCCAACATTATATGCGAATTACATCATATTTACAGGCCATTTGGCCTAATTTCTCCATACTAGTACACAGACATCCTCCTACTCTACTCCATCTCATTAAGTCCTCTGGAGGCCAGGGAAGGGAAAAAGGGGGAATATGACTGGGGGGACTCGAACAGAAAACCACAAAATTGTGCCTCTTATGACTGGAATTCCATTCTAATCATTGACAAGGTGTTTGTCTTGAATTCCCAGCTGGGTTTAGGAATGACTGCCTTACCTCGATGGGCCCTGGTTTGTGAACTCCCAGACAATATCTTCTGTATGTCTACACTATCATACCATTCATAATCTTAATTTGATGGCACTGATTTTGTGAAGGAGCTGGCTTAACATGAGGCAAAGCACCATTTGGGGAATGACTGAAGCACTGCTGGTGTTAATCCTGCTTGTCTACACTAAGCAGTACAATGAGGTAATGCAGTGCTCCACCTCTGAGCAAATAGTACTTTAGTTTATTATCTTAAAGCACAACCCGCGTGCGTGTTAAATCCCATCTCATTCAGTCGAATTTATCACTCCGACATGTTGTACCAGAGGGAATCCTGCAAGTGATGATGTGTAGGGCAGCTTATTATTTTAAATTATCTGTCTTCCATTCGCAGCTATTTCTTAGCAGAGCTGGAGAAATGCCTGGAGGAGCCAGAGAGACTAGCCGAGCTCTTCATAAAACATGTGAGTCGTCAGTGTATCTGCTCGCATACTTGAAATACCTAAAGCAACCCACTCCCCCATCTCTTCATTCCTCTACTGTTTCCCTACCACCCACCCCCTCCTTTCATTTTGAGCTGCTGCGCAAAAAAAAATCAGGATTTAGATTGAGGCCTCAGTGGGGGTGAGTGGGCCCTCAGCTGCCCTTTGACCCTCACAGTCAGAGTGACTGTCACTCTCACCCACTGATAACGCGGGTCAGAGATGCTCTCACTCAGTGTGAGGTATTACATGCTGCCTCAGGCCTGGTGCGGCCAACACTTACTAAGCATTGCACTCAGCAGACATCCCGCTTGCTGACACACCAGCCGTCTCTGAATAGGTTTCAGAACATGGCAGACTAAAGGTGTCGGGAGGTAACAGGAGACAGAGGGAGTGTGGTAATCAGACAGGCAATTAGTCAACATCATGTTGGACGGCAGAGAGGGGTTCGGTGGGGCCGAATGGTCCACTGCTAATTCATTCCCTGCGTTCTTCCACTAACCAACCCTCCCACTCACCGAACCTCCCACTCACCGAACCTCCCATTCACCGAACCTCCCACTCGGAGAGGGAGAGGGAGTGAGAGGGAGGGGGAGTGAGAGGGAGGGGGAGTGAGAGGGAGGGGGAGTGAGAGGGAGGGGGAGTGAGAGGGAGGGGAAGAGGGAGTGAGAGGGAGAGGGAGTGAACAGGAGGGAAAGGAAGAGGGAGTGAGCGGGAGAGGGAGTGAGCGGGAGGGAAAGGGAGAGGGAGTCAGAGGGAGAGCGAGTGAGCTGGAGAGCGAGTCAGAGAGTGAGTGGGAGGGAGAGCGAGTGACAGGGAGAGGGAGAGCAAGTGAGCGGGAGAGGGAGTGAACGAGAGAGGGAGTGAGTGGGAGTGGGAGTGAGTGGGAGTGGGAGAGGGCAAGGGAGAGAGAGGGAGTGAGTGGGAGAGGGTGGGAAAGGGAGAGGGAGTGAACGGGAGGGAGTGGGAGAGGGATGGAGGGAGGGAGAGGGAGAGTGAGGGAGAGGGAGAGAGAGAGTGAGATGGGGAGTGAACGGGAGAATGAACGAGCAGGAGAGGGAGTGAGCGGGAGCGGGAGAGGAGGGAAGGGGACAGTGAGTGAGAGGGAAAGCGAGTAGAGGGAGAGCGAGCGGGACGGAGAGTGAGTGGGAGAGGGAGAGGGAGTGAGCCAGAGATGGAGTGAGCAGAATGGAGAGGGATGGAAGGGGAGAGTGAGTGAGCGGGAGAGGGAGAGTGAGTGGGAGAGGGAGAGGGAGTGAGAGGGAGAGTGAACCGGAGAGAGAGAGGAAGTGAGCAGGAGGAAGAGGGGGAAAGGGAGACGGAGTCAGCAGAAGAGGGCGGGAGTGAGCAGGAGTGACCGGAAGAGAGAGAGGGAGCTGGGGAGGGAGTGAGCGGGAGGGAGAGGGAGGGAAAGGGAGAGGAAGGGAAAGGGAGAGCGAG